TGTATATATACTGCAGTACCTCGCATGATAGTCATGAAAAGTTACCAGCCTAGGCAAAAAAAAAAAAAAAATCTCCTTATCTACCCTCATGATGACAGCAAGGAAGAAACTTTATTCTTTTTCACCGAAGCATGTAAACTTATGCACTACTTAGATATCGTTTGGGACAGCAAAACCATGTTGTTTGCATAAAGAAGGACCAATACAGACTAATCCAAAATTTTGGGCGGGATATACTGTGTGACGTTGTGCAGTCTATATGGTTTTATAAAAATTTAATAAGTGACAATAATGCAAATGGGATATGCTTTGTGCAAAAGGTCTCTTGTAAGGTATCATTACAAAGCTCATAATCTACTGAGTGTGATCATCCTATTTGTAGAAATGTACCACTCTTGTATCTAAAACTAGAAATATAAAACATAACTCTGAGGGCCTATTGTAATTATGTAAAGTGTGGGCCATTAATGATGGTTTGGAATCTTGATGACTCCCACTGTCTGCAGATGGCTGTTTACCTGTGAGTCTCCCTGTATATGTGTGTGCCAGCAAGTGAGTAATGAAGTCTTGCAGTGACATGTGATCATGTCTCCTGAACTGGAATCCATCTTTAACCTGGTGCTTTTCCAGTGAGCGGGGGTGGAAACCCAGAGGGACAAAGGGTTCCCGCCTTATGCAAAAGATATATAAAGGGGTGGAACAGAAGAGAGAGGGAGAGAAGCCATCATGAAGAATCCCCTAGTTAACACCTGAGCTGCAACAAGAGCTGTACCAGGGGAAAGAATTGTGCCCAGGCCTGGAAGATGTCCAGTCTGAGTAAAAGCTTACTAAAGCATCTCTGAGGGTGAGATTATCTGTATTCAGTTTGATTAGGCATAGATTTGCGCATTTTATTTTATTTTGCTTGTGACTTACTTTGTTCTGTCTGTTACTACTTGGAACCACTTAAATCCTACTGTCTGTATTTAATAAAATCACTTTTTATTTAGTAATTAACTCAGGGTATGTATTAATACCTGGGGGAGCAAACAACTGTGCATATCTCTCTATCAGTGTTATAGAGGGTGAACAATTTATGAGTTTGCCCTGCATAAGCTTTATGCAGGGTAAAACGGATTTATCTGGGTTTAGACCCCATTGGGAGTTGGGCATCTGAGTGCTAGAGACAAGCACATTTCTGGGAGCTGTTTTCAGGTAAACTTGCAGCTTTGGGGCAAGTGATTCAGACCCTGGGTCTGTGTTGGAGCCAGACTGGAGTGTCTCGCTCAGCAAGACAGGGTGCTGGAGTCCTGAGCTGGCAGGGAAAACTGAAGCAGGGGTAGTCTTTGCACATCAGGTGGCACCAAGGGGGTTTCTGTGATCCAACCCGTCACATACTGCTCCCCTTCTAAAACTGCTGCAAGCTCATTTAATGTGAAAACTAAAGAAAGAGAGAGCCAATAAGCAGCCCAGACAGACTCCCATAATGATGGCCATAGCTCAACTTTTCACCCTAACTGATCATATCTTTAACTCTGGCCACTCTTTGGCTATGGAGGTTTCTCAAAAGAGAGAGTAATTTAAAAACTATGCAAATCCTCACAAATTTATCCCAGAGACTCTCTCTCTTAATGGAATCAAAATCTGATTTCAGATCAACGAAGGCTGTATAAAACTTTCCCTCTTGGTGGAACAAAGTTTATAAATTGGATGAGAGAGGGCAAAATAACTGTTGGTAGAGCAGTCCTTCTTGAAATTGGCTTGTTCCTCAACAAATAAATTACAGCTCTTTCCAGTCCTCTAATCTCCACAGGAGATACTTGGTATGGATATTAAAAACCATGTCTAAAAGGCTAATAGGTTGATAATTTCTAGGGTCATTTGTCACTTTGGGGGAAAGGGGGGGCAATCCCTACATATTTTTATTAGTAAATAATTTTGCTAACACAGGGGCCCATCAAACAGTATATTCCTTATAGACTTCTGCTGGGATAAAATCCTCCCTTTTATTACATTGGTTTTATCAAAATTCTGACTTCCTTGGTGGAGACTGTGGGCCATTCTGGATAAGGACAGCAGGTGAGGTCCATCGAGGTAGACCAAACCAAAGGGTTAATAGATGGATTATCATTGTACAAGGCAGAAAAATGTCTCTCCAAAGCATGTCTGGGATAAGAGCGTCAAATTTTACGTTAATCTTGTGGTAGACCATTGCTGCCATCATCTAAAATAGAGGAGATTTTTGTTTGTGGCAGTGAATTCAAATTTCTTCCAAAGGACCTTTTGATGATGCAACTTTTTCTTATTCAGCATTTTTTATAGTCGTTTCTAAGGATAACTAATATCTTAATAGAATAAGAGGAACTATTATTTCTCAGATCCCTTGCAATAATCTGAAAATGTTTTTTATAAACTGAAGCAATCCGAGTCATGACAGATTCTCTTATCTTCTAAAGGATTAAAAAAAAAAAAAAAAAAAAAAGATTAACGGTTGAGTCATCCTGTAATTTAACAGTCTCAGTTTGTGTGTGCTTGTGATCAAAAATTAAGGTCTTCAAAACTTAACAAATCACTGGGTATGAGCTTCTCTCTGACTTGAGGCTTTATTACTACTACTACTATCTAGTGCTTCTCATTAGATCTCAAATTGCTTCTCAATCTTTAATATATTTATCCACAGCACCTCTGCAAAGTTGGCAAATGTTAGAACCCCTATTTTTACGGATAGTGTCTCTGAATTAATTCCCTAAGTGACTTGCCAATGGTGATATAAGAAGTCTTTTGGTGGAGTAGGAAACTGAACTTGGGTCTTCCAAGTCATAGGCTTGTGTCCTAATCACTGTACCAAATAACAGATTCCACTTAATATATCTTGTTTACACTTTCAAAATCAGGAGTAAAACACAATCTGTCAAAATCCCTTTTGGAAAAAGTGGCTGAAGGGCAGAAATTCACCTCCAGGTGTTAACGATCACTGTCTGTAAAAGCCACTATAAAACTAGAGAAACAAGACCACCGTAAAATAGAAACTGCAATATAGTCTAACACATTGCCCCATCTAGAAGATGAGTGAAAAATGACCCTCCAGATCATTGCCATCTCTACCATTCAAAGTCTCCAACCAAAACCTATTTAAAATTACAGAAAATTTACAACCTGGAGTATTTCTTACCTTGTCCTTAGCGTGTCCGGGGGAAGTGAAGATCACACCCTGTTAAATGAGGAGGGGGAAAACTAAAAAATTCCTTATCCCCAGAACTCGGTTGGTCATAAAAATTTCCCAAAAGAACAACTTTTCCGTAAACAAGTCAATGAGAGATTCAAGCCCTACTCAGAAAGACACACTATAGAAAGGGAAGCTCGAAGGGGCATATGTATATTCAGGGCTAATGGAGTACATTTATTTGGGAAAATAATACTAGAGGCTTGAAAATAGGGATTGCATGGTGTTATTTACTAGTTATAACATTTAACTTGGAGATGAGCAGGGCAGGACCATTTGCAGGTTTACCCCTCTTTGCATGCTTAACACCCTCTTCAGAATTCAAATACAGATTCAAAGCCTGGTAAATCGGACTCATACTTAGAAACCAAGTTTCTTGGAGGAACACTAAATCAAATTGAGATAAATAGTTACTGAAATCCAAATCCTGGGAGTTACTTTTAAGGTGGAATCCCTGTCAGGCCCATCTAGTCAATCCCCTTCCCTTTCTAGGGTCTCAGTTGAAAAATTGTTATGAAAAACCACACCATTGGTTTTGTGATTAGGCCTAAATGTCCCAAGATAGTGATCTGACCAGGGCCAGCTCCAGGAACACCCTTTTTTTTTTTTTTTTTTCGTTTTGGCAGTTCAGACGGCTTTTTTTTTGTTTTTGTTTGTTTGTTTGTTTGTTTTTTGCTTTGGCAAAAATGGTAGAGCTGGCCCTGTCTTCAACTGTCCTGGATGGTGCATAGGACTTGAGTAAATGGGTCTGAGGTTGGACAGTTTTGTTTCACCTGAGTAACAGGTTATAGTCCAACAGGATTTGCTTGGTGGCCTGGTCACTCTTTTTTTGTTTGTTTGCTTGTTTGTTAAAAGGAACAAAGATTCTTTCCAGTTGCATTTCATAGCTTTTTCCTTTTGATCTTTTAAATCTGAATATCTCTATAGTTAAGGAGAGGTTTCATATGACAGATTTTTCCTAACTGTCCACTGAAACTGGTACTATGCAAGCCATTTAAATTATAACCACTAACTTTCAGTTTTGGAAAGTTGGGCCTAAGACAAAGAATAATATAAAAGTAAAACTTGCTTTATATATTTATTTCTCTTTATTACCAGAAAACCATTTAGAGAAACTATGCCGTACAATTTCCCACTAAGTACCATATGTGTTCTGAATAGATCAGGCTGAATGACTTTTAAGTGAATATTTTATAAATCCATTGATTAAATCTGGTGCCTTTCCTGTGGCATGAGACTGAAATCTCAAACTGGAAATAGTTTTCTGTGTAAATGCTTATCTATCTCTTATAAAATTCTGCAAATAGTAGTTTGGGACTTTACCTAAATGAAAGATATTTCTCTTCCCGTGCCATATTGTCATGGCTGAGATCAGTGGAAAATGAGTAAATATTGTCCAGCGTGCCTACTGCTATTATGGAAAGGTACTATTTTTTTTCTGTTGTCTTTTTTTAAAAGTGAACTGAAAGCAGTATTTTAAAAAGTAGATAATGGATTCTTCACTGTGGCAAAATACCATTCCTAAACAGGCAGCAGCATACTAAGGAGGCTGCAGTCCAATCGGTAGAGCAAATAATTAGCAGCTACTCCATTCCTGGGTTCTAATTACATCTGATTCACTCTGACTTTGTGCAGTTTCCTTGAGTGTCAGCCCACTTAGCAAGAGGGAGGAAAAGGTAATCAGAAGACCATACTGAAAGCTAGAGGCTGTCGCTGAAATTTCATATATAAATGTGAACAAAACAAGGATGAAGATGAACATAAAATAAACGTCTCTCTCCTGTTTTTCAATTACTAGCTTGAACAGATGGAACTCGAAGTTCGAGAAATCCCCGCCCAAAGCCGAGGAATGTATAGCAGTAGAATGAGGAGCTACAAACAAGAAATGGGAAAACTTGAAGCGGATTTTGTGAGTATATTTTACATATGATAAAGGACGGCATTTAAGAAGAAACTTACCTTAGTGTAACTGTGTTTCAGAATGAAGTAATCACTTTCTTCCATTTCCCCAACTTTCTCCAATCAACTCCACATGGGCAGACTTTGGGGGAGAGAATAGTCTTAACTCATGCAAGGGTGGAAGGAGCTGTCCTCTTCCTGTCCACAAATGCAATAATATCTGCGCAGTGTTTATATGGGGAAGAACCTCCTTAATCGTTTGCTAGTCTGCAGTCCCAGTTAAACTCTGCAGACTACTTGCTCCTACCATTGTGCCCCCCACTTCTTCCGCCCCCCCCATCTCTCTCTGTCCACACTCTTCTAGCCCTGTTTCTTGGCAAGGACTCAATAGCAGACCATTGTACTTATACTGTGAGAAGTCACTTAATTTTACAGGGTATTATGAGACTAGTATGAAGTACCATGTTTATAAGTTACCAGTTATAAACTACACTTATGAAATGAATCCCAAGTTCACTTCATTACTCAATATCCATGATTTCTTTTCCTTGATGTTTGGATACTCATTGGCTGTTTTTCAAATCAGTTATCCTCAGTGGATCTTTCAGGTACCAAATGCAAACTAGCATGGTTCTCCTGTCTGTGTGCTTGTATAGCCTGCAAGCCACCGGTCCTGTTTCTTTTGACTTTGAAATAGCGAATGGATTTGTGTACACACAAAATTGCTTCTAAAAGGGCTGACTGAAGACTTCAAATCCATCTGCTATTTCTTTCTGGGTGTAAGTAGTACATGTGACATTATAGGGTAAGCAACTTAATGCTCCATTGCATCCCAGGGGTAGAGCACCAGACTGACAGAGTGCTATCTGTAGTTGGGGAGTGAACGTTACTATGTATGCTGAGAACCCCTTATGTCCCCATGGAAACTCCTTGCCCCTTTCTTACCGCCTGCCATGCTCTAAATAGCTAAGAGAAGGGAGATTAGCCATGTCACCTTCACAGGGAGAAGAAAAGGGAGGAACTGGAATTAGGTAGGAGGTGAGGGCCCAGTGAGAAGAGACTGGGATCTGTATAATGATGAAACAGGGTTGCTTGGGGGAAGAGAAGAAATGAGGGGCCTATGACTGAGCAATAGAAAATAAGTGATGGAAGAGCCTGGGATGGGGATGAGGGAATGCAAACAGCGCAGAGAGAGAAGAAAAGAGGGAATAGATCGAAGTGATGGAAAAAAAACGAGCAAGCTATTTACCAGAAAAATGGAGGAAAAGAGTAAAGGATGGAAAAGAGAATGAAAAAAGCAATAGTTATGATTAGAAGTATGTTACGAGAGCTGAATGGTTCAGTTCACTGACGCCACTGTAGCTAAGGTGACACAAGCATTTGTGTTCTAATACTTGTTTTCAGACACTGATAATTTTCACAAGTTTTTACTTACCGGGCTGAGATTCCTTCCGGCTTGCTCTTTACCCAAAGGTGAAGTTTCTGGGAAAGTTTACGTAACAGTGGTTTGGCTGTGCGTTCAAGGAGACAAGGGAGGAAAATATGGCATAAACTCTCTTGGCTTTTTGAGCTGCTCTAATAGTATAGTGACTGAGGGAAAGCAGCTGAAAATTTTCATTGAAATGGAAATGCCTTTTGAATACTCTGGTGAAAATCATCTTGACTGAGTTTGTGATCTGTTGGCTGTAAGCAAAGAGTTTACAGCCTAATAGGAGCGCTAGATGACATCTGGAAAATGTGGTTGTAAGTACATGCCTTCTGAAACAAATTCACTTTTACTGCAGCTGAGGGTAAGTTTCTCATTAGGAGCAGGATTTTCTTACAGACTCGCTTCTCGAGGTTCGCTGCTCTTCCAAAAGATGCATGCACATGTGAGCTGGCAGATTTAGACATCGTTCTTTATAAGTGGAATTGGAAACTCAACCTGGATCCCATTTACGTTGGCTACTCCTACCCTTCCTTACTGTGTGAAGGAAAGTGAAGCTGTAAGTGGGCATTTATCAATCAGCAGAATACTGGGGCTAGAGACTAGTACTTCATTTTGGGACTAAACCAGAGGTGGGCAAACTACGGCCCACGGGACCGTCCTGCCCGGCCCTTGAGCTCCAGGTTGGGGAGGCTAGCCCCGGCCCCTCCCCCGCTGTCCCTCCTCTGCCACAGCTTCAGCTCGCCACACCGCCAGCGCTCTGGGCGGCGGGGCTGCGCGCTCCTGCAGGGCAGCGCTGCAGCATGTCTGGCACCGGCCGGGCGGCACGGCTGCCAGACATGATGCTTTGAGCCGCATGGTAAGGGGTCTGGGGAGTTGGATAAGGGGCAGGGGGTCCTGGGAGGGAGTCAGGGGACAGTTGGATGGGGCGGAGGTTCTGGCGGGGGGCAGTCGGGACGGAGAACAGGAGGGGTTGGATAGGCCTGGGAGTCCCAGGAGGCCTCTCAGGGGGCGGGGGTGTGGCTAGGGGTTGGGGCAGTCAGGGGACAAGGAGCAGGGGGGGTTGGATGGGTCGGAGATTCTGAGGGGGGCAGTCGGGGTGGGAAGTGGGAGGGGTCGGATTAGGGGCAGGGGCCAGGCTGTTTGGGGAGGCACAGCCTTCCCTACCCGGCCCTCCATACAGTTTTGCAACCCTGATGTGGCGCTCAGGCCAAAAAGTTTGCCTACCCGTGGACTAAACGCAGAGGCTTAGAAGATTTTGTCTTTTTTTTTTTAAACTGAGAGGACTTTAAACCAAAGCACGAGTCTGTCTTAATCAGTTCTCTTCCATGTTTTGAAATGTAATGATTATAGCTGTGGATGGCCCTCTCTTGGCCACTTACCTATGTAATTTAAGTAGAAGAATGTGAAAGCTGATTTAAGACTAATACTGTCTCTTCAAAGTGAATTGCGTAAAGCATCTGGATCAGCACTTCTCTCAAACTTTAAAACGAATGACATAAATGGGACTGCAAGTTTAATTTTATACACATTGTAATGAAAAAAATCTATTCTGTCAAGTTTTTTGTATGCCTGACAGAGTCCTGAAGACTTACCCCAGCTCAAGCAGTTATTGAAACCAACATTTCGGCAATATTCTTAAAACTTAAGAGCAGGATGCATTAATTCTGCAGACGGTTAGATCCTTTATTTGTAAAGGAGAGGGCATTTAGGTTGAGTGATGGCAGACTGTTTCCAGATGGAAAGTCCGCTTGCATTTAGATTGTGCTGGCCAAAGTGGCGAGAGACTGGGTTGACATCTTTACCTCATTGTATGACATTGTCATATGGTCATTGGGCATCTTGATGATTGGATGATACTTCTTGTAAACATTCATAAATGTTCTACACTTGCTAAGTCTTGAAGTATATTTTGAAATTATATTAATCTTTTAACCTAGTGCAGTCACACTCTGAAAGTTGACTCTCTAAAAACGGCCTTGCAGGGTTTTGTTAATTGTGCTCATAAGCTAACTTCCAGATCAGATATGAACAGGTCACAAATAGATGGGTTTTTTTTTCTTGGTGCTAGCCTTGCTAGCTCAACCTGATCTTTAAGAATCTGACTGTTCTTTCCCACACATCACTGCTATAAAGATCATGCAGTCTGAACTAATCTTCCATACACATCTGTGCAGTTTTAAGTTCAGATTATGCCCCTAGCAATCCCTGTGCAACTTCATAGTTTTCAGTAGGATTGCCCAGGTGTAACTGATAGCTCTGTAATTGGAATAAATGGTGCCCAAGAAGGAATAGCATCTAACTCACTCACTCTTGGCTGTGTCGGCTCTGCAGGACTAATGAAATTTAAAAACAATAACTTACTTTAATGACAAAAATAAGCAGATTCCATGGGACTCTGAATAGATATGGGTGTCTTTTATTAGTCACATCTCAGTGTAAGAAATTCCAGCTATTGAGGGTCTGATTCCGATACCATGACTCTGGTTGTATAGCACCTTATTCCTAAGGGATCCCATTAATTTCAAGTAAGTTCCTTACTTGTGTAGTAGGATACTATTCCTCATGAGTGAGGACATGAGAAGCTGGCCCATAAAAGGTCAAGCTTATTAAAGTTTCGTACTAAAAATACCATCAGTAAACTCTTACATAGTAAGTAATGTAGGTAAACTTTAGTTTTAATAGCTCTTTTTAAAAAATGAAATACTCACTAGGATGTATCAGCTAGGAGTGAGCCTTTACTGCTGTTGAATCGAAAGGTAATATAAAATATCACTACTTGCTTATATTGTGGAATGTGCTTGCAGTTTATGTATGCCATGGTAAGGGCTCTATCTTGTGGCCAAATGTGGAGTTGCAAACTACTGTTTTTGCTTTGCAGAAAATCTCTTAACTAAAGCCCTGGGGCCATCTCTTAAAGGAACACTCAACTTGAAATCCACTCACTTACAAGTGGCTTCAGTTACTATACCGGCCTCTCAGTCCCTCTGCCACTGCCTATGGTTTACAGTTGCATTTGTTAAATGTTTTTTCTCTCCCTGGATGCTGTGTGAAGGACCCACCTGAATAGTGACAACAGACTATGACTGACTTTGCTATCAAATGCTCAAAAGTCTAAAAGTGAAAAAATGTTTTTTTTTCTGTCATCTTTTCGTTATAGTGATCTTAGATGGTAATACCTCAGAGAAAAATAGAGCATGCTTAATTAAAAAAACAAACACTTTTCTCTGTTTGACAATATCCCTTTAAACACTGATGTTTTATAGAACCGGATGGCACAGATAATGGGATATTGAGCTTTCTCGTCTGAATCCATCCTAAATTGATTTTGGCCACAAGTTGTACTTCAGAATTAGCACTAACTGAAAATTATTATTAATTTATTTGTATTACTATAGAGCCTAGCAGCCCCCGTCATCGCCCAGGACCCCATTGTGCTAGGTGCAGTTGCAAACAAAACAAAAAAAACCTCCTTGTCCCAAAGAGTGTACAATCGGAGACAAGAGAGAGCAGATACATACAGATAGACAGGGAAGTACAAGCAAACAATGAGATAATATTGGTCAGCATGCTAGGTTGTGGCT